TCAAATTTTACCCCATCCTCTATTCACTACCCTATTAATACACTAATTTTGATGCACTTTTTATTTTTTTGTATTTTAATTTTAATTTTCGTTTTTTTTATATCTTATTTGAAATATAGTATTTAAAACAATATTTTTTTTAACTTTTTTATTATATTTAAAAAAAACATTTTTACTATATTTTTTTTTGTCTTTTAGTTAAAAACAACTGTATTTTCAAATAAAAACAACTAATTACTAAAAATAACTATTATTAAAACAAATTATGATTAAAACAACTATGTATCTCCAGCGACTCTCATTTATCAAAACCAACAATTTGTTAAATCAACTATTACAATCAACTAAAAAGTAATAAAAACAACTATATTGCTGCACGAAAACAACTATACTGCTGTACGAAAACAACTATATTGCTGTACGAAAAAATTTATAAATCTGTAAATAACACCATACAATTTCAACAAAAACAAACATTCATTATTCTATTGACTGAACACAAAATTAGCCTTCAATATAAGAATTCAACCAAAAACTCCAATTAAGAAAATTAAGATTCGAGAATTGGGTTTAAAAAAAAAATCAGAGAAGAACAACAACAACAACAATGAAACAATGTTGGCGGTGATCTCTATTGAAATCTCAGACGCAATATCAACCCTAGCGCCGCAGCATAGTCTCGTCATTCTCTCTAGCGAAAGCCCTAACGCCGTCCTTGACGAGAGAATTCCAGGGGTGAAGACCGTCTTCTTTTCGTGTCGGTGGAGGTAGGAACGCCATTGGGAGAAGAGAGTAACGATGGCGGCGCATAGATGGAAGAGGGTTGGAGGTAGCGGTATGTAGAGAGAAAATAGAGAGGAGAATAAGAGAAATAAAGAGAACGTGAAATAAGTTTGGTTATTTTAGATAAAATATCGGGCAAATTAGGTATATTAATCATGTCAAAAATAATATTCATTACCAAACATCTTCTTTAATATAAGGTGGGGGTTCTCACTAATAATGAAAATGAGGTTACATTCACCTTAATATAAAAAAATAAATTGGGAATTTTTCACTAATTATCCCTAAAAAAAATTATTAAAAACAAAAAAAACACCAAAGACCAAAATTCACAGTCAACAATACATCCAATCAAAAGCCGCCCCCCATCCCCCAACCCCCAACCCAGCCCAACACGAGTTCACGAAATTACAAATTTACCCACACATATATATATATATATATATATATATAGATATATATATATATAGATATATAGATAGATATATTCACAACATTTTGGTGTTACAGAGGCATACAAATTCAAAGAACATTTAGCAGACTACATAAACAAACATCAGTCTTATATATATATAATATATAATTTGTATAAATACAGTAAAAGTTTGTCTATCTTTATCCGCCAATCAATTGATTTGGGAGAAGAAGATGGAGCTGCAGAACACTGTCAAAGAAGCCCTAAACGCGCTGTACCATCACCCCGACGACGCCGTTCGGATGCAAGCTGATCGATGGCTTCAGGATTTCCAGCGTACGATTGACGCTTGGCAGGTGTGATTTTCGCTGTTCAATTCTAAGATTGCCGATTTTAAGGATTGTATATCTGTGTATGTATATGTATATTTCCGTTTGTTAGTTGTAATGAGGGTTTGAAGTATTGATCGGAACAGTCATTTTTAAATTGCTATAGGAGTTGGATTGGGATTAGTTGAATTTTATGGGGTTTTATAGGAAAGGTGAGATTTTGAATTGGATGCTCATGTTTTTATTTGGAAAAAAATAGGGGGTAAAAGAATGGGGGATTTTGCGATTTTTCTGAATTTGATGAATTACTGTAGTTTTATTACTAGTTAGTAATTCTTTACTCCAGAACAGAGCTTCACTTTTCCAGCATGAATGTCGGCTTGATATAAGTAGTGAAAGATCCCACACACACTTAAAAATGTGATGTTGATGATTTCGAATTGGTGTCCAATGTGTATTTCATGCAATGAGCAGTGTTTCTGATGGTCCTTCTGTGAATATGGCACACTCAATCTGTATGTGATTTTGGCAATCGCATTCTGGTTTTCTGTGGCAAATGAAACGTGCGTTTTGTTTTTTGGGAGAAGGGTCAAAGAAATAACCTGCTTTCATGGCTTCTACCATTTAACTCTAGGGGTTTCAAAGTTTGTGAATTATGTACGTGAGTTACTGGCTAGAAATCGTTGTAGCTTAATGGAACTGTATTTCTAAAGTTTCAGTTTTGTGGAGTTTTAATAGGATTTGATCTTTCTGAACTCCGGCAGAATGCATTGGCCTATTATTCTGGCTCTAATGCTTTGATCTAAATCGTCTAATCAATATTATGCATCCGATTTCACATAATGAGCATGTGATGAAGCATTTTTCACATATTAGCTATCTTTCCACCCCTCTTAAATTTTCAATTTTTTTGCTGGTGATTTTTTCCCAAACTCGTTTGAGAATGTTGTTATGTGGTGTTTTTACCATTGCTTTGTTTGGTTGAAGTCAGTGCAGTAAATCACCGGTAATTACTACTGTGATTCTTCTCAACTTTCAAGTAAACTTCTTATCGCTGAAGCAAACTTAAATATGTGAAATGGCTTCGACTTGAATAGATTGCTAACAGAAGGTTAAATTATTGGAGCAGAAAGTTAAAATTGTAGAACACCAAAGAAAGTATTGGTTAGCCGACCGAGAAATTATCTTTATAGTCCATATTTCATCTAGAGGAAGCTATATGGATACAAATTTATGCAAGGAATATGCAGTCTGTTTCAGCTTATGCTGAAATATCTAACTTTTGGAAACAATAGTTAGGGGGGGGGGGGGGGGGGTTTTTGAAAATTTCCCGGTTGAAAAAATATTGGTTTTCCCCCCCGGGGGGTGTTCCAGGCTGTAAAACAGTTTCCCTGCTTGCGTTCTGTTGTTTAAGGTTATTTTGAACGTAGAATTGGTATGTGTCACTCGTTATCTGATCCTATACAGCATTGAGATGTTACTGTCAGGCGATATAACAGTTTCCTGCTGGCCACTTAATAAAGAAAGATCTTGTTCATATAAAGAGATTTAGACAGAGAACATGGATGCAGTCTCTGTCACTGGTAAATGGAGATGAATATTTCACTGGTTGGATTAATTTACACATTGGGCCTCTTATGCACGACTTAGTTGGATCAACTTATTTTTTCGGGTTTAACCTATCAATATTTTTAAACCAGAAAAATACTATCGGTATCATAAGAAAGAGGAAAAAGGATAGATACTGCTATGATCTGCTACCTCTCCTCTATGCTAATGTATTCCTATGAGGTGACTTAAAACTTGAGAGGACTCGTCTCTTCTCTGTTCTTTTCCTGTTACTTTAACAGACAACATCAACTGTTGCCTGATTTTTTGTCATGAATATTCTGATTATATGTTTGTTGTGGCCAGGTGGCAGATAATTTGCTTCATGATACTGCTAGCAATATAGAAACTTTGATTTTCTGCTCTCAGACCCTCAGAAGCAAGGTGCTTATCCAAATTATTATTGTTTTCTGGGTGGGGGAGTGGGGGATGAAGATTCTACTTTCTCCTTATATTTTCAGGTTTTAAATATCATTAACGATATGCCAAGATGAATTGTTAAGCATCTTTTAATGGTGGAAACAGGTGCAACGTGATTTTGAAGAATTACCTTCCGAAGCTTTTCGTCCATTACGGGTTTCTTTAAATGTAAGGAACTTGTGAGATTCTGTAGTTTGGGCTGTGGTTCAGTTTTCTGTGCATTGCTATTTTATTTTTATTTTTTATCATCTTCATGATATCACGCATGTTTAATTGAAATACCATTGATACAAAATCATCAAATTTATTGTGGTTTTATTTTTTTGTTGATCTTATGTAACATGTTGGTGAGGCATTTAAGAACCTTTTACTTAAGCTCGAAATTGGCGGAAGAGTTGAACGGTTTCTTATTTGCTTAGGAACTACTTGTTTTTGCATTCTTTTACTCTTCATTGCTCTAAATGTGGTTCATTAGGTAGTTATACATAGATTAGAAGTGCTTGTATGCAGGATTATCTGACTATAATCTCAGGAAAATGTGTTTTATGTTTTCTATTGATAATTTTGGGATTCATTTATAGATTGTTCTATGGATAAATGTGCTCAATGTTTCTTAGAGATGATAATTGATATGTGATTACACAGGTCTGTGCTTTCTGATAAAGATGTCATTTGTGATTCATTCTTGTGCATGGAGCAGTTATTCTCCGTCGTTTGTTCTTTTTTGGATCCTTTCCATAGAACATTTTACAGTTAATTTGCATTTTTGTATTTGTGTTGTTTTTGCTTTATGAGTCCTCGAGAATGGATGTTCTGTCGCATGAGAGTCATTTAAATGTTTGGTTCTGTTGCATGTAATTTTATGTATTTATTCTTGATGCAGACCTTGCTCAAATCATTTCACAAAGGACCTCCTAAAGTTAGAACTCAGGTAAAGCTAGATCATTTGAATTGATATCTGTATGTCGTAAGACAGAACACTAAATGTGGCGATGTATAGATTAGCCTTGCAGTGGCTGCATTGGCTGTCCATGTACCAGCAGAAGACTGGGGAGATGGTGGTATTGTCACTTGGATAAGAGATGAGATGAGTTCGCATCCTGAATTTATACCAAGTTTTCTCGAACTTCTCAGAGTCTTGCCTGAGGTATATAGAAACCTGATTTTTATGGATCATTTATTTTCTGCACCTCTCACTCGCTCACCACAATTACAATATGGAAGCATGCTTGGTGGAACTTTGACATTTGTTCGGATTAAGCAGCTTTTATTAGACTGTTTAAAGTTTACTTGAAGTGTGTAGATATTGAGTATGCAGCTTTTATTAGATTTGTTGGCTATGGTCTGAGCAAAGCTTCCTAGCTTGGCTATTTTTCAGGTTCTTTTGAGATTTTATTAGATCGATCAGTTCAGTACAGCCAAAAATGGCCACAAGCTTCAAAATTCCTCTTATCTCGGCCTTTAGAACTCTCTTGCTCATCTTGATGAACACCAAAGAACTTTGCTTCTGCAAATACTCGGCTCAAGATTATTTTAGCAGCCTACTATATAGTTATAAAATTGTTCAGAAAATTTATGTTCATGTTTTTTTGACATTAACTGCTGGTGTCTTTATGATGTATTTATTTAGTGTGTATTTCTTGTGTAAGATACATATATTTTTTAAGAATGTATAATGTATCTGTAGTTCTGTACTCATGAAAATATCATTGCCAAATACCGAATATTCCTTAATCTTAAATTAATCCTAGTTTCTTCGTCCATGCGTTTGTTGTTTGTTACAATGATATTGTGTAATTATTGTTGTTTCCTGAACCGATAAACAATTCATTTGAGTCTTATTATTTCCCTTAGAATGGGTTTTTAAGAATAGGTAACAACAATTTTCTTTGAAACAGGAAGTGTTCAACTATAAAATAGCAGTGCGTCCTGATAGGCGCCGCAATTTTGAAGATGAACTTGCTTCAGGGATGGAGATTGCACTTAATGTCTTAACTGCTTGCTTGAATGTGAATGAACTGTCGGAGCAGGTATATGTTGTTATTGATGATATCCCCACGGAAGTCCATAGTCCATAGTTCATTGTTAATTATGATATTTAAAAATTCTTAAGACATTCAATTATCTTATATGGATTGGGTTCAAATTGTAGATAATTAGTAGAATGCTCCACTTTGTTAAGTTGATGCGTAGTAGAATTACCTCTTTTGATATGCTTTTGCATTTGACTGTAGTTAAATCTACTATGTCGAGATGATAAACGAAGCGTCCTTTCACGCTTTTTTCTCCGAAGGAGACTTGCGGGTTTGGTTTGTTAGTGATGCGTGTAGGCATTCTCCTTTATTCTTCTGCCTAAGAGTCATTTATTTTCTATTCTTATAACTAGGTATTTTCCAACATATTTTCGCATTTTGCCTAAGTTATTTTTTCTGTTTTTTCAACTAGGCATTTCTCTAATATATTTTCGCTCTTTACCTTTTTACTCTAATAAGTAGGTATTCGTCCATCATCTTTTGCATTTGTCTTGGTACTGGACATTTACTGGTTTGTTTGAAATTGAAACTGATTGTTGTACTATGATTTCAAATTGATTAGGTATTTCAAATCAGTCTTACTATATATGTTGTTTATTTTAAATCAACTTGGTTGTCCGAGGATTTGATGTTGCATTTAGTTTACCTTTCTAAGTTCTTATAAATCGGCAGGTTCTTGAGGGTTTTGCTTCTTGGCTACGGTTAAGGCATAGGTACTTTCTTTTCTCTGTGGACCCTACAACAGTTCTGTCTTTGCACTTTCATTCCGCATGTTGTGTTTTCCCTTTTTTGGGGGAAAGACCTAGGATGCAGCAGTATATTTTATATTTGAGAGAGTTTTCCATATCCTTGTATTTTTTTATGTGCCCGTGCCCCATTAATTTTATATCATTTTCTCATCTCTTCTATGGACTTTATTGGTTTCAGGATTCCAGCTTCAGCCCTTGCTTCACATCCATTAGTGCTTTCAGCTCTCTCAAGCTTGAATAGTGATATACTTTCTGAGGCAGCTGTTAATGGTTTGTGAAAGACGTGTTAATCCTTCTTTCTCCTAAGTTATATTATCTTGCAACTTCATCTTTTTAGGTCTCTTCAGAAGCAATTTGTTACTTTGAACTGTCACGAATTACTCAATTTGTCTCTTTTTACTTTGTTACTTCAGAAGATCTTATAGTTATTGAGTAATAATTGATAGATTAATTAAGTATTCCAAAACTTAAAACCGTAAGTGATGGATAACAAAAACGAAAAATGATTACCGGTCTTAATTTAAAATAAACTATAAGATCTTGGATTTGAGCCATGTGTGCGAATCTTTTGGATAAAGATGGGTAACAATTTGTATTCAGACGTGACAAGGTATAAACAGCTACCAATTTAGGTGGAGGTGGTTAAATGAATTCAATTAAGCTGTTCAAGTTTGCAGACATGATGCTTGGATAGCCTTAATGTGTATGGTTATTACATCTACATTATGTGGTTGCATTGGCTATGTGGAATAGAGATAAAAGTAAAATTTGGTGATATGGTTTTAAAGACTTTGGATGTTTTTCTCCTTCACAACGTTACCACTCTAATCTACTAGAAGTGCATGGGCAGCATGATGCGACATTTACTATTCCAGCTCTCTCTCCCTCTCAGTTCGTCCACCAACTTGTTAGCTGTTGCATTTATTTTTTTCTTGCTGTTAATGAGTCCATTCTGATTGAGAGGAGCTAATTGAATTTTCAGAATCCTTACTTTTTTCATGTTTTTTATGCAGTCATTTCTGAATTAATACACTATACAGCAGTTAGAAACCCTGATGAAGTTGCGTCTCAGATGCCCTTAATTCAAGCAATTGTCCCTCGGATTATGAATCTTAAAGCTCAGCTTCGAGATCCTTCCAAGGTATTATTTTTGTTTAGATTTTTATAATTCTTTTCCTTCTGGCACGATATGCTTACGGTAAATCTTTCTTTCCAAGAATGATTCCCTGTTCTGATTTTTGTAAGATGCTACTTATGTTTCTTAAACTATTATTGACAACTGCATATTGAATTTTTGGTTATTATTACTTCTAATATGAGGAGCCCGTCCAGTTGAATGGGAATTTTGTATTAAATATCAGTTGAACTTAACTATTTTTGACTGGTCTGAAAAGATCTTCAGATTAGTCTTGGCATAATTAGTTGCAAATTTATAATTAGTGTTGACAAGGGAAATGACTTTTTTTCTTATGCTAATCAAGAAAATAGGCTGCAGTGAGGGACCATTGTTAGCCACTATGGACTATAATCCTACAATTGGGAGAGATGACCTGTTAGCTTGACTCATGGGGTGATTTATGAAACAGTGAACTCTTTGTTATGAAACTGTTCTTTCACAGTTTCAAACACTGGTCATGGATAGCAGCACTTCAAAGCCTCATGTGGACTATCTAGTGTGCAGTTCTTTTTAGAAATGATTAACTTGCTAATGGGACATAGTTGCCTAGCAGACATATTTCTCTCGTGCAGAGTGTTGAAATTATTAGTGAAATAGGTCTTCTCAAATTCTGAGCACCTTGTGATTGGTAATGGGAATTTCCTTTAAAGTGGAACTTAAAGATAACTATTGGGACAAACATATCGAGCTGAATTGGCACTAGGATAAATGTATGCTAGGTTTTTTTCATGGAGTATTAAATAGGATGTAAATATTTGCAATTTGATTGACATATATAGCGTAACACTTGTCTGACTTGCACTGGATGCGAATACTGGCTGTTCTGGGTGGACTTCAGCTATGTTGAAGGGATGAGTCTTTTAGTTATCCTGACCGAATACATCATTTTCAAATCTAGCTTGGTTCTATTTGTTATAGATATTTGAGACACTTTCTAACAGTGTTGCAAGATTCCCTTCTTCTTTGTTTAATTATTATATTTTTCCTGAGCTGTTGTAATTGCTTTTCTTATTCGGAATTGATTAACATTCGACTCAGGACGAGGAGGATGTGAAGGCCATTGCTCGCTTATTTGCTGACATGGGGGATGCATATGTTGAATTAATAGCAAATGGTATGCAATTTCTTACGTCTTGAAGCTTTTACTTCTCTTTGTTGCTGTAGTACATAAGGAGAGTATTATATATGCTCAAATTAATTGTTTGCATACATACTTGGATATACGTGTTTCTATCTAGTATGTATTTAACAGATCCACTGTAAATACATATGAACATGAACATGATTTGGGTTAGTGTTTGCTGTATTGTCGCTACCAAGGTTAACTTAAGATAAATGACTTTTGTTTTCAGGTTCTGATGAATCAATGTTGATTGTGCAAGCATTACTTGAAGTTGCCTCACATCCAGAATTTGATATTGCTTCAATGACCTTTAACTTCTGGCATAGTCTTCAACTTATGTTAATTGAGAGGTGAAACGATTTTGATTTCTAATTTTTGCGTTTGTGCTGAACCAACTTTTGACTTTGACATTTCTAATGGATCAGGAATTCTTATGTAGCATACGCTAGTGAAGCATCTGTTGAAGCTGAGAGATCCCGCCTGTTGCAAGTTTTCCGTTCATCATACGAATCACTTGTTTCCTTGGTGAGACTTTTCTCTTTTTTCAAATTAAAAGCTCTTCTAAAAGAGATGGAAACTGGTGCAGTCTCTTTCCAGTCTTCAAAAGAAACTTTTCGTGGTATAGACCCAAAATATTGTTGTTCCTATAGAAGTTAGAGCATCAGGTGATGGTTGCCAAAATGTCTTAGTTGCTACTTTGCTTTTATCTTGAGAGAAAAATACTTTAAAGATTTAAAAGGAGGGTGAGGAATTTCTTTCCATTTTGCAGAGAAGTGAAAGTACTTATGTTAAATCGAAGAGGCTAGAGGGTTAAATGATTGGTTTATGTAGATATGCAAATATGTAAAAGGGAAAGATGATTGTATTAAAGACTGTTGGTAGAGGGTTGCGTCAGGTGTTAGACTCAACATTGGGCAAGAAAAAACCAACAACAATGTTACTTCGATGCATTGTAAATTAAATATACATAAAATTATAGACAGTTCTGTATACCGGTCAAAACAGTAATGGTCTTCTATGATCTTTCATTTTACAGAAGTGGATTTTCAGGATCCAAAATATCTGTCAGTTGTGTAGTCTTTATGTTTGATATCATAATGATATCTTCTGATTCTGATCACCTCACTCGTAATGCACAACTTCCTTAAATTTCTGATTTTGCATACTAGTGTAAATCAAAGTAAAGTTATCTTTAGTAACTGCCTGGATTTTATAACCTCTCCATTATTTTTCAATCAGGTCAGCGTCAAAGTTGGATATCCCCAAGATTATGCAGATCTTTCAAGAGAAGATCAGAAAGATTTTAAGCAGACCAGATATGGTACTTCTTGCAATTTCGTTTGGGTTTTTTTGTCTGCTGAGTGATTCATTTGTTTCTTAAGTGGTCGCAGTTTATGTTTAAAGTATTCATTTTTGTTTTCTCATCGCCTTCTGTTGATGTCATTGGCCTTCTGTTTGTTATAGTACTTCCCAAGAAAATAACGCTCTCTCATCTCAGCAAATATACGTAGTGAATAAATTCTGATCTTGGCTGGGGGACAAGCATAGGAAATCCGAGCTCTATATCAATTTTTTGTCGTTTTCTTTTCATCTGATCCATCATTCATCATGAATAATGAGATGCAATCTGTACTTGTCCTAAAGCAAATTAGGACAACCACCACTGGAGAGAAATTATGCTAACATCAGCACAGTAGTGGCATCCAGTGTTTGCTCTGCAGATAATTAGACAGAGAAATATATGCTGGCCTTCATCTTCTGCCTTCGTCTTCTGGACATTATGATTTGTAATAGTGGTCAGAAAACATTATAAAAAGGAAGACAAAATCCTTAAATAAAATATTTTTCCAAAATTAAATATATTTGCTCTATCATATTTAGATTTATCAATCTATCTCTGCTCTTCTTGATGAAAACATACTTTGTCCCATAGATTCACGCATTAACTTTAAGTTGGTCGGAGATATAAGATCCACATATTAAGGTATAGACAATGTCTTCTAGTTTTAGCTGACAGCAAGCTAGTTCTTCATTTGTTGCATATGCATTAGGAATATGCTATGTCTTAGGACATATATGCTTTTCGGTTCTTCTGTAATAAGTTGACAATATAAAAGTTTGTGGTGTCAGTTTTCTCAACATTGCTTAGGTTGGTCTCTTATATGATCCTATAGTTTTGTGGATATCTGACTAAGTTTCTCTCTTATATGCAGCTGTTGCAGATGTCCTTATTGATGCAGCTCTTGTCTTAGGTGGTGATGCTACACTAAGAATTCTTTACATGAAGCTTGTTGAGGTGTGTGTTATCTCTTTGATGCTGTATAATTCTTCATTTTGTCAGTTATTAATCTAAAGGCCTCTAGTTATTTGTGCACGTGCACTTGCCCCCCCCCCCCCCCCCCAAAATCTGTGAATATTCCGCATCCAAAATCTTGTTGGTTTATTAAGTTGTCAGCCATGTATTTACTTTTTCCCTTTTGACATCATAGGCTGTTAGTAACTGTGGACAAACAGATTGGCGTCCAGCAGAAGCTGCTTTGTATAGCATCCGAGCAATATCAGATTTCGTACCTACTGTTGACGGAGAAGTTATGCCTCAGGTTCGAAACATTCTCCTATCTGTTAGGAAAGATCTTTGTGATGCCAGCCCTGCTTTGCATTTTCCTATTATACTTGTATTTGTCCAGAACAATCTAAGATATTTTTCAGTTATCACAGAGGGAGGAGCTTATATTTTTTGTTCAACTATTTTTTATTATGTATTGAATTGCTCAATTCAGAACAACCTCACAAATGTTTAATTTGGTCAGATTATGTCTTTGCTTCCAAAACTTCCTCATCAACCACAGCTGCTACAGACAGGTATCTGTGTTTCGAAACCATGAAGCCCCTTTCATCTCCCTTATTAAATTAACACGTCACGTTCTACGAGATTATTATGCTTCACCATTTTCCTTAAGATGTTTAACCATCTCCCCTGACTTTATTCTCTTTCTTTAGTGTGCTTAGTCATTGGAGCTTATGCAAAATGGCTTGATGGTGCACCAAGTGGACTTTCATTTTTGCCGCCACTCATAGATATTCTTGTTAGCGGCATGAGTATTTCAGAGGAAACTGCAGCAGCAGCTGCTTTGGCATTTCGTCATATATGTGATGGTAAGTATTTTGTTTGCGTAGTTCTTATATTTTGTTCGTATCAAGTCAAATTTGTACTACTTTTCGAGCTCAAATGTAATCTTTGTGAACTCAACAACAATTGACTTCATTTCATTTTTTGTGGCCATTTTTCTTGTTATGTTACTGAGGTCATAATTGTCCTCGTTCATATCCCACCCCTCATTAAGTGGGTAGAAATTTTGCTGCAGAATTACAGTGTTTTATGACTTTAGGAGTAGTTCTGCATAAATGGTAGTACCATACATGAGATTGTAGAGCAACAAATAATTTGGCGTTCTTAACAAAACAATTATTTTTCTGCACGCTGATACTTTTCACCCATTTGTTTGATTTTTCACCTCAACTTGGTTCTGTACTTGTATCTGCGGCTACCTTCACAACAGCTGCACTTATACTTGATCAGTAAATGTATCTCAATTCCGAAAGTTCAGTTGATATAATTTATTTCGACTATAGACTGCAAGAAAAAGCTCTGTGGTTCCTTGGATGGCCTCTTCCAGATATACCAAAGGGCAGTGATTGGAGAAGGTTCCTTCAAGGTTTCTGCCGATGACTCGTTAAATTTAGTCGAGGCACTAAGGTAATATTGATTTTACAATCCTAGAGAAATTCTTCAGATTGATATTATATTGACTTGTTGGGATATTTCCCCACAGTGTGGTTATCACAGAACTTCCTTCAGAGCATGCTAAGAAAGGCCTGGAGGCATTGTGCTCACCTGCTGTCGCTCCTTTACAGGTTAGTTTTATCGTCGTGAAATTTGACTTTTTTTTGGAATCAAATATAAAGTATTTATTCATGTGGTCAACCAACAGGACATCATTAGTCAAGGTCCTGTAGTGCTCGGGCAGAGACCTGCTCGTGATCTAACTGTTCATATAGATCGACTTGCAAATATATTTAGGTAATGCCATTTATCTTTCTCTGTTCAGTCACGCCTTTTCGCCAGGAAATGTTATCATGATTATGCAATTTGAAAACATTTCAGATATGTAAATCATCCGGAGGCTGTTGCTGATGCTGTTCAAAGACTCTGGCCAATATTCAAAGCAATTTTTGATACGTCAGTGCTCTCTAGATCTGCTTCTATAATATATTTTATTTTAGTTTCTATGTTATCGTCGAACAGTTATAAAAAGCTTGAGCTCATTATACTTGTGCTGCAGTCGTTTGTGGGACATGCGGACTATGGAATCACTTTGTCGAGCGTGCAAAAATGCTGTAAGTTTGCTGACAATGACCGCCATTTGTTGGTTATTCAGATGTTTTGTGTCGATAAACAGTGCAAGTGATTTCAGATTACCTTCTCTGGCCTCGTATTGGGAATTAGGATAGGATTTTATGGACAATATAATCAAGGTTTGTCAAATGTTTGGGGTTTAGGTTTGAAGCCCATGATAAGAAACAAGCCTGGATTTTAGTCAAACATATGAAATATATTTAATCCAAACTCAAACCCTTTTATTAACAACCATTCCCAAACGAGGCCAAAGTAATTACGATAATCTGTTGCCCTCTCACATCTTGTGGACTATGTCACCGTGGAAGTCATGCATTTAAAAATCTGGCTCCTATTTATTTCTCTTTGTTATGCTTCTTACTTGGGCAGTTCTTCTCCCTATAATAATTGGTGTTTTTCTAGGTGAGGACCTCTAAAACTTTTATGGGAGTTACAGTTGGTGTAATGCTCGAGGAGATACAAGTATTATACAAACAGCAACAACAGCCTTGTTTCCTCTATCTCTCTAGTGAAGTTATCAAGGTTTCGTATTTTCCTTGAGCTTTTATATTATTATTCAGCTTTTGTATCTTAAGCTTAATCGAAACTCTGTTTTGTAGATATTTGGGTCAGATCCATCTTGTACAAACTATTTGAAAATCCTGATTGAATCCCTATTCAACCATACAACGTTTATGCTTACGAAGGCTCAGGTGTGGTCATACAATTAACAAACTGGGAACTCATTTCTTGAAATCCTGTTACATTATTATTTTTTTCTGATATTATTTCCGTCTCACAGGACTTCACTGCCAGGCCCGACTTGGTAGATGATTGTTTCTTGTTGGCGTCGAGGTGTATACGTTACTGTCCCCAATTATTTTTTCCGTCTCCTGTATTTCCTTGTTTAGTGGATTGTTCAATGATTGGCTTCACCGTACCACACAGGTCAACTCTCTCTCTCTCTCTCTCTCTCTCTCTCTCTCTCTCTCTCTCTCTCTCTCTCTCTCTCTCTCTCTCTCTCTCTCTCTCTCTCTCTCTCTCTCTCTCTCTCTCTCTCTCTCTCTCTCTCTCTCAATAAACCAGCATGATCTTGATAAGATACAATGCTTGCCGTTCCCCTGGGGGAAAGCCTCGAAATCCATATTGAATTTTTTATCAGATGTTTTCGATGTTGCAAACACTAGCCAGGGGAAGCCTTATGCATCTATACGGGACAATATCATCATCCCTAGAGGTGCTGTGCTCACCAGAATTCTCATAGCTGCTCTAACGGGAGCACTTCCAAGTTCTCGACTAGAAACGGTTATCCACTTGATTACCTACAAATTTCCAAATACTTTTTGCATATATATTATTGTTGCCACTTTTTTATTTAAAATAAGCTTATTTTCCATTTCTCATCTAGGTAACATATGCACTGTTAGCTCTTACACGAGCCTACGGTGTGAAGGCTTTAGAGTGGGCAAAGGAGAGCCTCTGCTTAATCCCACCAAACGCTGTTACAGAGATCGAACGGTCGAGATTCTTGCATGCTCTGTCTGAAGCAGCATCTGGCGGGCCCGTTAATGGTGTCATGATTCCGATCGAAGAATTGTCGGAGGTTTGCAGAAGAAATGGATCGGTTCAAGATATTGTTCAAGGGGCTTTGAGGCCACTTGAGGTGAACATTGTCCCTGTATCATAGTGTTGAGTGACACAGAAAAGAAGGGCTTATATTTTTTTTCTTCGGCCCTTGTCTTTGGTTGAGGCACTTTGATTTTTTGTATTTATTGCTCATCATTTGCCAATTCGTATAGGTTTGTTGCATGGGAGAGAGGGCTTGTGTTGTTGTGTTTCACATTGGCAGAATATATGTATATTTTTTTTTCATTCATAAATGATAAGTACAAATCAGTAAGATGGTAGAATGTTCTTGCTTGGCCAAGTTTTCGGGGCGGAAATTTATTTTTTAATTTTCTATTTTATTTAGTTGTTACGATTTGTTTTATGCTATAATCTGAACTTTATGTGAGACTGATTTAAACCAAATATAGAAAATTATTCACGTAAATAATTAAATATGCATGGACCACGAAAGAGAAAATAAAAACGTGGTTCATAAAAGCAGCTGGTTCACAAAAGCAGCTGTAATCAAGTAATAGTAACCTATGGCGACGAATTTCCAATGCGCATAAGGAAATGATTCATTTCGAGTTCCCTTTGTTGAGATAAGAATACGAGTTCTCAATGCGCATAAGGAAATGATTCTGAGATAGATAAGAATACGAGTTCCCAATGCGCATAAGGAAATGATCTCAATGCGCATAAGGAAATGATTCTGAGATAGATAAGAATACGAGTTCCCAATGCGCATAAGGAAATGATTCATTTCGAGTTCCCTATTCGTTCTGAGATGAGATAAGAATCAATAGTAACCTATGGCGAAGGAAATGATTCATTTCGAGTTCCCTATTCGTTCTGAGATGAGTAACCTATGGCGAAGGAAATGATTCATTTCGAGTTCCCTATTCGTTCTCCTATTCGTTCTGAGATGAGATAAGAAATTATTCATTTATCAAATAATCCCTTTGTTTATAAATTTATATTTTATTTTCTTGAAATTTCATTTTTCCAAACCAATAGAAGAATGCGCATAAGAAAATGATTCATTTCGAGTTCCCTATTCGTTATGAGACAAGAAATTATTCATTTATCAAATAATCCCTTTGTTTATAAATTTATATTTTATTTTCTTGAAATTTCATTTTTCCAAACCAATAGAAGGTTAAAACTAATTCTTATAAATAATTTAAATATTTCCATTTGTTCACAAATCTTTTGTTTTGATATTACAAACCTCTCAATTATTGTGTTTACAAGTTGCTTGATTGGACTACAAATGAAATTTGACTCCTATATATAGTACTATGCCTCCATATTTGAGGGTGTAATTGATTTAGTACTATGGTTGAGGGTGATTTTATAGAGAATTTCATATTCTAGTTACATGTTAGAATGTAAGTATAACCAAGATGTTTAGAAAGCTCTTAGAAATCTTTACAGTTTGGTGACAACCTACAAGTTTTTAGAGAGTGATCCTAAAGAACGTATCATATTCTAGTTATCTACAAGTTTCTTTGGGCTATTTTTTATTTTTTCTTATTCAAATGAGAACCTCTTTGCCAAATATCATAAAATTTGATCCAAAAATAGGCGGACCGTGACATCTTGCCATTCTCTATTGTTTAAAGTTATTAATTATTGCTATTTTTTCGACAACCGTCTTATTTAATCTATTAAACTAACAATGTTACTTTAAAACATCTCAAGTAATGATGCAAATATGTTTCGATTTTTTGAAAAATTTAATGGCGTTGGAAGTTTATACGAAATAAAAGTGATTATATTTTGTAGAGATATTATAATATGCCTAAACCCTCATTACAATATTATTTTCTTTTTTAGATTTCTAAAATAACAAACTAGACGAAATGCCAACTTTTACGAAGAGAACTTATGAAAGTTACTTCTCGGTTTTCGAAATTAAAATTGGATCGTGAATTCATGACGATTTTCTAGAAATTTTTCGGGGCCCTTTTAGTTCGAGTGTCCTAAGCAGTCAGTCGCATGTGAAGCTTGCTCTCGTGGTCGGCCCCATTGTTTAATTGAACAAAGTTAGCTTTCCGTATTTGTACGGTTATTCACTTTTGATATTCGAAGGTTCAAATATTATCTTGAATTGAGAAAAGGGTCAATAGAGTTTAAACTTAAAAGGAAGAATTTTTTGGATAGAATTTTTTTTCAGAAGCAAGTCCCAATGGAGATAAGATGACCACGTGAATTAGGTCAAATTCTATCAAACCAAACTCATATAATAACTCATCCAAACAGGTGCTAAGGATCAGGCAATTGAAAATCTGAAAATGCATTAACTGCTTAGAAAGTTATATATCTTTGGATAATGTAAGTTGTTATGAATGTCACCAAAATGATGTAAACCTCCCAACATTCTCAACCCAACTTGCCATTACAATACACATTATTCCATATGTTGTCCGTTAAGACCGAGTTTGGTTGACAAGATAAGATTAGTCAATATAAGATTAAATAATTTAATGTTTATTATTGAATCTTGGAAGCCCGACAAAAACCATGTCATATTTGTGGGTTGACTTGACAAGTTATTGTGGATGTCAAACATCAAACAAAGTCTTATTGTTTAGTTAATAATGAATAATCTCCCAACCAAACGAGGCCTTCAATAAAATCCTACCAAAATAACAAACATAACAAACCCAGTTATACGGTTCGGTTAGATAAATACCAAATTACCGAAATTTCACTACTCAGTACACATACTGAATTACCAAGAGTTATGAAGCGAAAAAAAAAACGGAGTAGCAAATCGAATTGATGAAATATAAACGAAAATGGTATAGTTAATTGCTCTCTATTTCATTTTCAACAACAATAAAATCAGAGAAAAACAAAAAGAATCTTAAATATTAGCATAGTAACAAGGACGAGACAACATGATTTACAATGCATAAATGGGGAATTTCTAGTCAAGCTACTTGTGCTATCTATTCTTAATCAAACACTTCTATTTTCTTATTAAAAAAAATAAAAATAAAAAAATAAAAACTTTCTAATTATCAAAATGAACCATCTTTGGTTTCAGTTTTATTCTGTTTTTTTTTTTCTGTTTTTCAAACCTTTCTTCCTCAAGAAACACTCGAAATCACCTGCCCCGATGATGACAACGACAGCCTCAAAGACAATGGTGATGTCTCAGATGGCAACTGTTGATTTAAGTTAAGATCAATCATTGTCGATGAAGGTGGCATATGAAGAACCGGAACTTGATGAACAAACATTGACGATGAATTGTTCATTGGAATATTCCGACCAAAAGCTGTGTTTGTCATCGGATTTTCGCCTTGCATTGGCACTAGAACAGGGGTAACAATCACAGGGAAATGCATAATTGAATATCCTCTCAGTCCGGAAGTTACAGGTGGCGGTGGCGGTGGCGGCATAGAGGTGGTTGGCTGAGGAAGTGGCTGAGATGGGCCGCTTTGATGGTGGTTTCTTGACTCTTCCATCGGCACTGCATTTACCTAATCACCAAAAAAAAAAATCCCGAAATCGTTAGTTTACACCACATTAAAACAGAATCTTGATACGTTATTCATTCGTGTATTTTGGTCAAAACATTAGCCGCAAAATCAGCAAACCACATTGCTTGTTTACAAAACGATTTCAGATTCAAGAATCAACAATATATAAGATCTAATCATACTACACAAGAAAAGCCGCTAAATATACATATTGACAACCAATTAAGAGATTTACCGAGTCGGTGGTGATGTCGAAGAGGCTAGTACGGCGGCGGCGGCGGTTGATATTACTCCGGCGGAGGAAGTATTTCTGAGCATGGCTGGCCACTTGAGTCGGCGTGCGAGTCTTGACGTAATTTCTCGAGATTCCTCTCCAATCACCTTTACCAACCTTTTGCAGTCCAAGCAGGAATAATTTATGCTCTTCCTCTGTCCATGGAACTCCTGATAATTAATCGAAAAACAATTTGAAACTGGATCAGAATTTAATTAACCAATCAAAAACAATAATAAAAAAATTATTCAGGAATTTTTATTGAGTATGATGATATTAATAAATCCGATTATATTTCTTCCATTGAGCATATTCACTATTTTGTTTATAAAAATCAAAGCAACACTGTATATGACATAAATTCTTCAAAGATGGAAAGATTTTCACACAAGCAAAATCAAAATTATCCAAACAGTAAAATTCGTATGTTTGATTTTTGTAAACCAGATGTCAGAGAGAGAGAGAGAGAGAGAGAGAGAGAGAGAGAGAGAGAGAGAGAGAGAGAGAGAGAGAGAGAGAGAGAGAAAGAACAAAAAACTCCATGATCAGAACTTCAATTACAGAAATCAGAGAGTCAAACCAAAAAAAAGCAATTTTCAATTGACAAATAAATTGGGGGAAATTACTAAAGCAAAAAGGAGATGACCGGAGATCTAACCTCGCTTACGCTCAACGTTGGCCGGCCGGCGGCGTGCGTCATCGGCGGAGGCGTATCCAACAACTACACCACCATCATCCGCCGCCTTCGGCAACTCATCACCGCTCTTCTCGCTCAGATTACAAGTATTACTAACAGGCTCGTACTCCGACAGATTATTCATACTGACGCTCTTCCTCATAGGATCAACTTGTACTCTCACCCCAAACAACATAATCTCACCTTCACCACAGTCACCACCGTCAATTGAGCCGTTTCCGCCGCCGCTCACGGCGTCGGACGGCGATTCTCCGCAGAACGACATAAAATAAATTTAGAGAGAGAGAGAGAAAAGTTAAAACGAATGAATGAATGAATGGTGGATAGAGAGAGGTCAGTTTTATACGAGAAAAATTGCCTTATGGAAACGTGACGGCCGTACAATTGTGTGCTGGAAATTTAATTTAATTTAATTTATTAATTAATAATAATAATAAAATAAATAAGGAAAATCTCCCAAAATTTGAAGATAATATTTTCAATAAATTAGATTGCAAGATAATTAAATATGATGATAAGATAAGGTAATAATGAGCTGTTCCGTTGAAAATTTATCTCCTTTTTCCTTTTTACTCGTGTGAATTTATGGACTATTGATTTTCCTTTTTTATATTTTTTTTCTTTAGATTTTTTTTCCAACCAAAAATAATACCGAGATAAAATAATTAAAGCGGTGTGATTCAGATTGAATTAAAACGATGTAGAGATAACCGCACAACAAGACATCGATAAATTAATACTCGATAAGTTATTTGCTTAAATAATATTTTTTTTTTATCTCGACTCAAATTATTAATTCAATAATTTAATATTTTGTTTAATTATAGATTTAATTTCATTATTCCAATTTATTGCACGAAAGCAATTGTACCGTAATTTAATGCATGCGAAATTAATTAGAAATAAGGTCTAGTAGATAAAGGCAGAGCCATCACTTGTTACTATAGTATACAATACTTGGTTCACTTTCAATAGATTAAAGTTGAGCTTTTGTTAAATGATTATATAACAAAATTGATAAGTCGATGAAATTACGAATTGTATCGATGAATAATTTAATCGTGGAATAGAATTTAAATTAATTAACCGATCTTGGTCCGTCCGAATTCGAATTAAAAATTTCCATGAATAGTACTCTACTAGTTGATTTTGAGTAATATTATTAATTTGGGACTATGGTCATAAATGAATAATGGGTAAATTACAAACACCCCCTGATGTATGGTCAAATTACAAAAACACCCCTCTTGTTTGAATAATTACAACCAACCATCAACTCATCAAATTTAGTGGAATGTTCGAGATTATATGGAATATTATCACTTTTGTACCCGTTTTATCACATTCAAACTCTACATTATGAAGCAAGATGATCATAATATGTGATTTTTAGCTTGTATATATCAGTTTGTGGTGCATCGGAAACTGTATTTTTTACACAAAAAGAGTACAAACTAGATCACATTTCACGGAATCTAGATGACTATGTTGAATTTGGCACCATAGAGGTGGAGGTCTAAGAAAAAATCATAGTTGAGGGGGTAGATGTAATTATCCAAACAAGAGGGGGATTTTTGTAATTTGACCATACCTCAGGGGGTGTTTGTAATTTACCCATGAATAATTTCCATAATCACAAAATAGAAAGAAAAAAAGAAAAAGAAATAAAACAGATAAATAAATAATAATAATAATTAAACAAAAAAAAAAAAAGTAAAAGATATTTCACAACAATTTCTCAGGGGAGCGGAGTGGACACGTTTTGAATTCTGATTGGCACATTGTTTATCCGAATTTTCGGAGTTAGTATTTTTCACCAGAAAGAGGCTGTTGACTTTAGATGTAACGTGTCTCAACGAATAGGCGCCACGTGTATTTGTTATTACATTGAAGCTTAAGAAAATTATGTATTATAAAAAAAAAAATATTATATATGTATGGAACAATAGATGTGGATCAACTGATTATGGATATATATTTACCTGGTTAATTATCAAGTAAATAATAAAGTCAACCCGAAAATAAAGTGTAGATTTTTACTACATATTTATACTAATTAAATCCTATATATAAAAGAAGTCAACGATAGAGCAACTATAGTAACAATTTTTGTAATTTTTTTTTTTCTACTAATTATCTTCTTTTTTTTTATTTTTTTAATTCCTTTCTTATCTCAAAGAAACAGTTTGTTACTTTGTTGCTTTCTTTCATATTCCGCTTTCTTTATTAATAAAATCTTCGTAAATATTTTATTTATTTATTTGTTTTCTTTAAAAATTTAATAGTGATATTTTGTAATCAATCTCTTTTTTCTTTTATTAATTTTTGCTTTATTAATTGCATCGTTTGTTTAACAACCAATTTCATATTACGATAAATAAATTTATATAATCTTTTGTCGAGTGAGTTTGTATAATCATATTTGTATATATGAATATTGAGGTTGTTACTGTAATTTAATATCACTATTAAATTTTATTATAATATTATAATATATCCTTTATTATGATGTAATAAATCATTTACTTTTCTTTTTGCTTTTGAAATGTTATCAGGATAAATATATCCTTGTTATTTTATAATAATAAAAAAGTAGTGTTTTTTTTTTTAATTAATGTCTTATAGTCGAAATGATAGTCTAATCACATTATAATATGTTTTTAAGTTTTCTCTAAATTTTAAATTTAGAAACTGACTTGAACGTTGGATAATTTTCGTCCGGACAAAGTTAATTAATTTTAATAATTTTTGTATTGTAGTAAGTTGTCATAAATCCAGACAATTTTCGAGTTTTGGGCTTCCCTACTTCTGCAAGTTGCTTACATCTTGAATTAAAAATTAAAAATTAAAAAATAAGAAATTAGAAATTATTTTATTTAAGTTTAGTACATTTGCTTCACAATTTACAAGAGATGGTAAGGACATGTTCATTATTATTTAGCTAACAAACAAACACAATATTTCAAGGTTGATTTCTTTTTAAGTGGATCAATAAAATTATAATATCTATCATTTTGTTCCATATTATTTGTTACTTTAGAATGTTAATATTGTAATAATTGCATAGTTTTTTAATTATGCTCTTATTAACTCTCCAATATGTTATCTGCATTAATTAGTAAATAAGGGTATTTTAGTCTAATAATATCTATTTTTTTTTCTAAAATCAAGAAATTTTTACTAAGTTTTTTAAGATATGTGCAAATGTGAAAAAACGGCAACTATTTACAAACGGAAGAAGTATTAGCATTTGTTAATTTATGGGCACCAATCACCTTTGGTCTTAAAGTTCAATTATTTATGCCAAGACTATAAGAAACTAAACAAGAGAGGCTATTTTCACATACTTCATATTTGAGGCAATGATCATCAATAATGTAATAAAACAAATTTTCATCTCCTACATTAATTGTACTTTTAGGCCCCGTTTGGTTGCCAAGATAAGTTTAGATTAACTAAATAGTTGGACTTAATTTGATGTTTGGTATCCATAATAAATTGTCGGTTCGACCCGCCAAAATTATGTAATCATGCCTTATCTTGCCTTCTAGTGTGTTTTTTTGTTGGACGTCGCAAGCTCCAATAAAATAATTGGGTTTTATTAAACTATTTAATTTTATCTAGACTAATCTTATCTTGCCAACCAAACGGGCTTAGTATATAAATTTAGTTGGATTTCCTTTTAGTAGTCTGACATCCAGGATATTATTTGTAAATTAATCATATATAAAATGGATAACTTAGTCATTTATATATGAAGTTATATATGCTACATCAATTTAAAATATAAATTTACACATTTTTAATTAAAATAATATAAACTAAAACATAGTGCGTTCAAATGATAATTTTACTTTGCACCCTTAAATAATATGTATTTGGGACAATGCACCCTTGAAACAAAATAAAATTATTTTGCATCCTCGGTTTTCATAGCTAATTTCAATGTCCACCCTCACCTACATTCCGGTATAATTTTTCACCGGAAAATTTATTTTCAAGATATCACACGCGGTAATTTTCATCAGAATCATAGTTTGCTTATAAGAGAATAAATTCCGTTATTAACAAGTGAATAAATTTCTTTAAAAAAACCGTGTCAAAATTTTGAAATAGAATATGACAACTTAGGTGTACAAAATGCCATTTTCTTATTTCAATGGTGCATTGTGCTAAATGCTTATAATTCAAGGGTGCAAAGTGAAATTTATCCTGCGTTCAAAAACTCATTTTCTACGTATACCTAACGTTCGTCTAAATAAAGCGTAATTAAAGTTTAATACACCATTAGGGGAAAAAAAAACTAAGTAACGTGACTACATGACTTGATTCTAGGCACTGCAGCCAATGTGGTACGATGATTATAATTTAATCAAACTGATTAGTTGCAACTTGATACGAAATTAAAATTATTTATTAAAGAAAAATAAAAGTGTTATCACATGTAAACGAATTTAAGGATTATACTAATATAATTAACTGACAATGTTGTCTCTAACAGTAACAATTAGAAGATGTGATTTGTAATTGTAAGATAATTAATTAACTAATCTTCAACCTTTCGGACATGATTAAGGATAACCTCTTTTCCGTTAGTATTATTTAATTAATCATTGATAATTAGGTCATTTTTTTTTGTGGCTTTAAGAGATAAATTTAATATTTAAACCATTTAATATTAGCAAATTGATACACTCAATGACTGACGGACTAATAGAATATTTACAATAATATGTTGTTATTATTGTAAAATTATTTATATCCTAATAAACCTCCAAGAAATGAACTGAATTTTTTTTATATATATATTTGTAATATTCTGTATGAATACATATTATTATATCTATGATAAAAATTAGAAAGAAAGTCGATCAGTCAACTTGTGAGCAACATGAACAATTAAAAATTGGCTCGAACTCAAGATCAAGCTTTTATCAAGTCGGCTCTGTAATCACATGAGCTGACTTAACGATCATTTACATCCCTAATAACATTGCAAAATTAATATATGGGTGTAAGAAAATATTAACCTTTAAATTTATACATATTATTATATATATGATAAAAAAAAATTAAAACTAAAGAGCCAGCCAACTTGAGAGCAACATGAACAACTAAAAAATGGCTCGAACTCAAGCTCAAGCTTTTATAAGTTGACTTAATGATCATGTAACATCCCCATATATATATATATATATATATATATATATATATATATATATATATATATATATATATGTGTGTGTGTGTGTGTGTGTGTGTGTGTGTTATTACTAGTAGACATGTATTGATGTATAGGTTTGATTCTCATATA